AGAGGCATGTGGATTGCACAGCTGGACAGATTGATTGGATAGGAATAGGTTTTATAGGATATGTGGGGGGGAGGTTGGGCTCTGGGTTTTGTACGGACAGGCTGTGCAAAAGCGTGGSGTTCTGGATGGGATAGACTTCCACCAGAAGCGCTTGCTTTTGTATGTGGGGATTTTGTAGATGTTGAGAACAGGAGCACGAGCAGTCCCTCACCCTCCCCTTTGACTGCAGAGATGATGCATAGAGTGGATGGTGATCTGCAGAAATGTCCTCTTCATTGTAGATATGATGTTTTGTTGTTCTAAYGAAGCAATAGGGTGTTTTGGGGAGCCACAGAGAAAAATACCTTTCCGTGAATAAATCGGTGAAATGGTCGTCATGAGTTTTATTGGGCGAGATGTTGCTGAGGGTATTGCTGTGGGGCGGGGCATGTCTGGCGGCTCTCAGGTTGGTGGACTTGTTGAAGGGTGGTTGCAGCTGTGGGAGCAGTAGCGTAAGGTCATGAAGATGAGTGGGACAATCTGTGTTCCCATTTCGATGTGTTGTTGTTCGTGCGGCTCACCACAAAGTGTGGCGGCCATGCATCGGTGTTTCGATGCTCGTCGCCATATCCTTCAGGCAGCCACCGTCGTGACGGAGAGGATGGGGAAACTCGCCATGACATTGGCGGATCCACCTCTGTGCATCCCAAACTGGGCCGACTGTGGGATCACGTTCACCCATGACGCCACTTTTCCATCATCGATGGCCGCAAAAAAGCTGGAATGGTTCGGCACTGACCCCCTGGAGAACGATGACGACAAAACATTGCATCACGACAAGGATGGGGCGGGGTAGAGAAGCACAGTTGGCATCGCGTACAGGACGGGTCACATAGCGTCGTCGGATGCGTCGGGGATCGGCCGCGCAACGACGAAGTGCGCAGTCAGCAGGTTGATGGGCGTCCGTGGCTTGCTGTCGCAATGCACAAGGGGCGGCTCGTGCCACACGGCGGGGGTTTCGACGTCCCATGTGGAGGTTGGGGGATGTGCTTACGTGCACTCACACGGCCCAGATGGACATGTAAAAAGTAGCATCGCTTTGTATTCTCTTCGCGTTGTGTGATGGATGTTGAGAGAGAGAGAGAGAGAGAGAGAGGTGTTCATTGTTTAGTGGAGAACACAGTTTTCTAGGTTTCAACGACATTGTTATGGGGTGTTGGCATTCAGTTGCACGCGTGGGGTCTTTCTGTGATTGTGACGCATGTAATGCCACCTTTGTGATGTGTGCCTCACGCCAGTGTTTGTTGTGCATGTGATTTTGTAAGGTGTAACTCACGACAGTGTTTGTTGTTCGTTTGGACTGCACCTTTGCGTACCTTGCTGGTGTAAGGTGTTAGGAGAAAAGGGAAGAGATGATCAATGGTATTCAGCACTAGATGATCAGTACAAATTCTTTCGAGAGCTTCAAGTTTGAAGGTTGTGCAACAGCAAGTTGTCCAACACAACGAAGCACAGCGACCCCCGCCCCCCTGTTCGCACGAATGTCACCGCGGGTTGTACCACTCAGCTAAAAAATAAGCAAAAATGTCGACAGCAAACAACATCACACACCATCCACACACAGGTTGCGAAAGAACAGAGCAATGCAAAAGAACATACGAACATACGTTTCTTTGCAAAAGAAACACTTTCATGGGAACAGTACACAACACAATTGCCGACACAAGGGCCGAATGCCATGTGCGGATTCCGAAACGCACAAATCTCCAAATGTACGAAAGAAAATTAAGTAACCAACCAACGACACACGGCTGCAGCGATCAACTACCAAAACAAAAATGTGAACCCGTGACACTCGTCAAGGTCGTGGCATCCCACAATGCGGACGCGTCACTCCATATCTGGTGCGAAGAGGCAACACACTACCCACATGCTGATGTGGAAAACGACACATGCGACTGGTACGTGTCATGACGAACATCTCTCTCTCTCTCTCTCTCTCTCTCTCTCTCTCTCTCTCTCTCTCTCTCTCTCTCTCTACTGTCGAGCGTCGTCAGAGGCCACCCATCCTCTTGGCCAGTGCGTCCCTCAGAATTAACGCATCAAGCTCTCCATGCACGACGGCCTCAAGGGACACTGGATTCCAAAGATCCTCACGACGACGCACTCCGTTCGCATCCACCTCCCACAACAGATTGTCATCAAATGGGATGTCGGCCTCGATGAGCAGGTTGTGGAAAATGCACACAACCACAAACTGTTGCGGCAACGTCTCCATGTTCGTCTTGTGCGACTGCAGGAACAACCTCCACATCCCCTTCAGTCTGTCGAAAGCCCTCTCAACTGCCCCCCTCGCGGTCTTCTGATTGTCAAATCGCGTCTTCGACGGGTGACGAGTAGTGGTGCCGTAAGGAACGACTATCCATTCCGATGGTGGGTAACCATTGTTGCCCAGCAGGAAGCCGTTTGTTGGGACGCCGAATGGCAGCATCACAGGCGGTCCTGTGAAAAGTTCGCCAGCCTCTGCACGCGCCCATAAACTAGACAGGTGAATACTGACATCGGGGCAGCTCCCAGGATAGCCGACAAAGACATCCAGCACACGCAAGTCCAGTTCGACGACGACCTGCGCGATGATCGAGAAACATCGTTTCCAATCGTAGTAGTCCTCGCCAAGGGCGTTTGCCGGCTTGTCGATGTACATATGCGTGCAGTCGATGCAACCATGACATTTGGGGAAACCCTTGCCAGCGAAAGCACGAAGGACGATCAACTTGCGCACCCCCGTCGGCTGCAATATCTTGTCACGGTAGACCGTCCGTAGTGACGTCCCTCACAACCACCAAACCTGATGCTCTGCTGATACCAAAGTTACATGTGCTGCTCTCGTACGTCTCCCCCGACGCCCACCTGTACAACACGTACGGGACGATCTGATCTGGCTGCAGCGGCTCCCTGTAGAATGTCACACGGCGCTGCAGCAACGGCAAGAGAGCTTCCACAATCTCCCGGAAGACACGTGGCGACATGCGCAGCTTGTCCCGAAAGTAGTCCTCCATCGCGTCGTCGCATTGCCGCAGATCCTCGCACGTCCACCCGTCCTCCTTTTCATCCACCATCTCGACGTTGCTCTGGGAAGAGCTCTGCAACCCAAGGCGCAGCACACGTGATTGACGGCATCGCAGATGGCGGAGGTGTCCAACCCAAGGCCTTCCAGTGCTGTGCACTGCTTGACCTTCCTCCTCCTCGGACGGATCCGCGCTTTCATTCTCCCCCCCGCCGTCCTCTCCATCTAACAACGAAAGAGGACTGCAGTAACCGCCGCTGCCACTGTCGTCCCCTCCGCCGTTGTCAGCTTCCCACCGACGTCAAGGTCGCCACCGTCCATCACTCCCAAACGAGTCGCAAGGTCGTATTCTCCACCGACGTCTTCCTTGCGTGGCCGTACTCGCCCCGATGACTGCGACGATGGCGTCTCCTCTCCCGACAACTGGCGTGACGGCAACTCCTCCCCTGACGACGGCCGATGCAATCTCCCCCCCCCCCCCCCCCCCCCTCGAGCGACTGCTGTGATTACGTCTTCTCCACCGACGTCTTCCTTGCCTGGCCGCAGTCAGCACCCACGCCGACCCCCCCCGACACGTTGTGGAAGGAGCCTCCTTTACGATGTCCTCCACCAGCCGCCACAGCACCACGACGAACCGTCCCCACCCAAGTGACGTCATTCGAAATTTGAATCTCGAACAGGGACGGCGTGCCTAGTTTTTTTTTTTTTTTTGGGTCGCTGTGAAGATTCGGATTTTTGCCAACCAATCGAAGCTGGACAACTGCTCATGGACCACCGACCCCACCCCACGCCGGGGTCGCCAATAAGAGTTTTAACTCGAGGACGACTAGCCGCGGGACCTCTATAGGAATCCTCCTCGGACATCCATCCCGAGGATAAGTGGAACGACGACGGGAAAAATCTCGGAAGCCCCGAATGAAAACTCCTTCGGCCCCGAGGAATGTCTAACGAGCCCCTTTGTTTCAATGGGGAAACCAACCACAGCTACAGTACATGTGGACCTCTCATCTCACACCCTAATTGCTCAGTCCCTTTGTTTCCACTTTTTTTTTTTTTTTTTTTTTTTTTTTTTTTTTTTTTGCCCCGCAACTTCCTCAAGCTCCTTTTCCGACCGTGATTTTGCCCTGTGCACCAAGCTTTGTCAAGCCTGGAGGGGGCGGGAACCGATTTGGGATATAACATGGCTGGTGCAGGTACCGCCCATTGTTTTCGATCGTGAACCACCCTAGTCTTGGCCAGAAGTGCAGTTGGATACATTTGGAGAGAGAGAGAGAGAGAGAGAGAGAGAGAGAGAGAGAGAGAGAGAGTCTGATGTTCCTTTGCTGCCCAGACTTCAATGCTCCCCGTTTTTCAAGGGGAGGCACATAATATGGAGCCGAAATTGTTTGTTTTATTTTTTTAGTTGTAAAGAGAAAAAAAAAAGAAACGGGAAAAAAATGGCATACCACGTGATTGCCTTCAGATACATGCGAAGGGAGCCACAAGCGCATGCAGATACGTTCCCAGAAGTGTTTTTGCTTTTGTGGCAGGCACTGCAATGCTCCCCCTTTCTCACACGGAGTCCATTCAGATACAACCAAGATTCTTTTTCTTTTTGTTACAAGAGACAAAAAAAAAAAACAAGACAAGGAAAACAGATATTGCACGTGATCGCCAGCAGATTCACGCCCTGAAAACAGAAGAAAAAAGTGAAAGATTGCTCCCCGCCACTGATGGGAATTCGCAGCACGTGCAGCCTAAATTTTATTTCTTCTTTTTTTTTTTTCTCCCTTTTTTATACCAGAAACGGTCGTTTTATTGGGGCGCAGGGACCTTGTCCCACTTGCACCGTTTAGTTGAGGCAACTCAACGGTGCGACAGCTGAAAATATTCGTTCGTATTCAATTTCAAATGAGAAATGCATTTATAAATGCAACCGATACAACTGTTCTGGTTTTTCTTTTTTCACAATTGGAGTGGCATACGGGCACTTCAACACCAGAAAATGAACAGTTGCCAGAATCCCGTCACGGTACAAAAATGGCAAACGGAAGGAGGCTCATACAGTTTCTCTAGAAAAACGTCTTTTGGCAAAAGGAACAAGAGGGTCGTTGAGCTAGCTGTCTCCAAAAAAGGAGACAGCTAGCTCAACGGAAAGTGGCGAGGGTAGGGGGAGTAGTATTCAAGAGAAAGGATTTACTTCTGCTTTATTTTGTAAGGAAAAGTAACGATAGTGTCTATTGCCTTTTTTTTATTAAAAACGGACCGCTAGACAACTTGGATGACGTGCAATTCCGTTGTCGCGTACAGTCACACAGTCGAAAACCAAACGTTCACCTAGCTCAACAGAGCTAGAAGGACAAGGTCCCAGTGCCCAACGCAGAAATACAATGTCCAAGAGCTGCAGATTCAGGGGTCGCAAAAAGAGGCGAACGAAAAGGTAAACAGAAACATAGAGTTCCTTATAATATACATTAAAAAAATATAATAATAATAATAATAATAATAATAATATAGAATGTATAGGCTCAGAGGTGACTCTAGGTTGCCGTATTAAGAAACTGTGCCTTTTGTTTTGGCTTCCTGGAGCCCGGTCCCACTAGCAAAGAGTATGGAATCAAGCTCCTGAACCTGGATGTGATTTATGCAGAGATGCAGAAAAGCAGTTCAATCTCGATTTAATGCACCTCTCCACAAACACGTCCAGATTCAGGCATTCGATCGGATCCCATTTGCTAAGGCCTTGGTTTTGTTACTGCTTGTTGCCTGGGTGCATACGTTGTACATTACGTGGTTGGAGGCCCGGGGCAAGGTCCCACTTGCGCAAACTAGTAGATTTCGGCCGTTGATCTTTGCTATCTACCGTCAGTATCTCTTAATTCGTGCAAGTGGGACCTAGCCCCCGGATTGGAGGTGGATCTAGACTGGCCGCTCTTGGGGACGTGGCCTTTTCTATATTTGGCTTTTCAGTTCAGCTGTGGTGTGTGTATCATCCATATGTGGCAGATCATGTCACCTGCCTGGATCACATTCAGAAAAAAAAAGAAACAAGAATGTTTACTCCCGTAATTCAAGTCCAGATACATTTGCAAAAATCATGCCATGAACATGCCCTGCAAACGGTCGTTTCCTTTCTTTTTTTTCAATTATTCACGTGTTGACTCAGCAAGGGCACATTCCCCACATGCATCGGGTCATGAATGGAGGACAATACATTCAAAATTAGACGTCACTGGACCACTGCTTCCTTCGCGATGACGAGGGACGCAAGCTACAAGGGACACAGTGCTCCCGTGACTTCTGATTTCAACTGTATGGTCCCCCGTTCAAGGACCGGTACATCTGAAGAACATGTAAGTCATCTCGGATGTCCTTTATGGCAATTGCAGCTGCAGGATCCGTGCATGTAGAAACAAGGACAGCAAAAAAACGCTGAGGAGGGCCTGGATGGAGTACACGCAGTTCTTTTCCTTCGGCCCGCCAGCTTGTTTGTGTGTGTGTGTGTGTGTGTGTGTGTGTGTGTGTGTGTGTGTGTGTGTGTGTGTGTGTGTGTGTGTGTGTGTGTG